GCCGCCGTCGCCCCCGGGGGCCCCCGCCGCCGCCACCAGCAGGCGCCGCGCGCCGTCCTCCCGCAGCAGGCGAGCCAGCCGCCGCCCCAGGTCCGCCGCCGCGCCCGCCGCCCCGTCCGCGCACGCCCCGCCTGCTCCAATCGATAACAAAACATCCATTCTAGCAAACATTGATAGCAGAACATGATAACTGAACATCGATTCTTGCAAACATCGGTAACAAAACATCTATTCTAACAAACATTGAAAACAAAACATCGGTAACAAAACATCAGAAACGAAACATCGATGCTAGCAAACATTGATGTTCAAAATACAAACATCGATGTTAAAAACACATCGACTAAAAACATTGATGCTTTTAAACACAGATGTTTTAAAGATGGTTTAGTAACCTACAACATTGCATTCGTGTGTATTAAAATTTAATATGACAGTGTTCACGTTTATTAAATCGCCGAATAAAGGTACGAGAAGGCGCAGACCCTGTTCCCACAGCGTATTTGTCGACCGTATCTCAATGTGCGAAATGAATATGAAGAAAGAGGCGTGGAGGTCATCTCGAGCGAGAGAGTTTGGCAATGCAAATAGCGTTTTTTTTGTTCTAACGTATAAATAACAGTGTTACTATCAAATATTATTTCATATTTCAACTTTTACAGTTTTGTTACAGTGGGAATTTTTCATTCAGCAACAAAACACCGGAAAAGAAAAAAAATTGATGATAATAAACATCGGTGTTAATACATCGATGTTTGTACAGAAACATCGATGTTTCTACAAAAACATAGACATCGATGTCGCATCCCCACTTCGAAGACGTTTTTTAAACAGCTACTAGTAAAAGCAGTTCTTTCAGGTCATGCATACAATAAATTTTCACAATGCCACTTCATCTTGATTCGCATTGACAAGAGCAGCCTATCAGGTACTAATCTGTGTATACAGATTTGTTCTTACATAATTCTTACATTATTAAATAAACATAACTACTCTGAATTATATGAAGAATAATTTGGACAGGAAATTAAAGTCGCCAACTTGATGTTGCATCGTGGGAAAATAGACTGCACTGCACTGCACTGCACTGCACTGCACTGCACTGCACTGCACATTCTTCTGCCACATTTGGGAACGTTGCCAAATTTGAAATACATGCGAAATATCTCAAAAGTGGTAGAGAATGATCAAAATGTTGCAGTCGATTGCTGCAGTTTGAGATCGCTCATTGCAGAGGCTCAAAAGTGGGACGATAGCATATGCACTAAGGCGCTTCGACAAATGAGACCATCGACAGACAAACAGAAAGCCCAGGACTATTATTCTTATATAGAGATACGCTGCTTGAAACAAGAAGGGGGAACTATATTTTTGTGCCACCTTTTTTCCATTAAACTTTTTTTATTGACATATTTGGCTAATAAATAAATAAATCATACTACAAGGAGAATTAAACTATAACTTTAATGACACAGTTAAAAATGCAATACAATGTATTGGACCTATTTGCAGTACTGCCATTTATCTCGGAGAGCCTCTTCCGTAAATATAAATCAACTCTCCACATTGCTAAATTAAAAAAGGGAAAATATATGAATTAAATATATTTACCTAATTCCAGGAACTGAATGTATTTATTAATATATAATTGATTTAGTAGATCAGGCTATGGGGGTTTCAAATTTCTCGGGGAAGGGGGGCACAGCCTCCATGGCCAATTTTGCGTGCAACCGTACGCTCTCTTATAAAGTGGTGGCGATTCTTACAGTGTCGCTTCTACCTTTGCACCGTCTCGCAAGAAATACTGAGTTTTAGCGGCGACATCCTTAAAATATTGATCACAAGACTTACGACGTTATGGAGCCGTGAGGAACAAGATAGGACAAGGTTTAGAAATTGCGACATTGCGTTTTGCATTTTAGCAATAGAACATTTCACGTTGAACATTGAGGTTGCGCAATGTAGATCAAAAAGTGTAGAAAATAATATTGTCCTCCCCAAATTATTGGTTAGGCATTTGAAACATGGTACTAGTCAATGAGTAAACACATTTCTATATGCAAGAAGTTTTAGATTTTCTAGTCCATGTGATGCCTATGCTGTCTGTGATTTTGATTCGGGTTTTCTTATTTCTTAATTAAAATATTGGCAACAGCGTTCGTTGTAAGAGAAAAACATAACCTAACACGATAACTTCAACTTCGTTTTTAAGAATGTTTTACCCTTTATCTTTACAATACTTTCCGTTAATTCTTACCAGTGTTGTGGAGAATTAATTGTACTGGTCTCACATAGGAGAATCAGTTTATTAGAGTAAGAAAAAACCCACCTTTTCTTGTTCATAGGCGGCCATATTTACTTTTGTAAGGTGACCGTACAGACAGCAAGCACAATTTATGAAGGGTGCGCCTTAGACCTAAGGTAAGACATTCATACTTCGATTCTAATAGAATGGCTTCTGAATTTTGAATAGCTTCTTAACTTTAATCACAGCTTAGTTTACAGTAATCATCAGCAATATCGATCTTCCGTGCGTGCACAGTTCGAGGGGCACACGCGCAGATGCTCAAAAGTGGTTAGAGTGGTCGAGATATTGCTGTCGATTTCTGTACGTTAGGTCGTGCATTAAGTCCTAGACAAAAGACAGTCCCATGCTCTCTACCTTCCTCCCCGAAAAGGCATAGACCGACTGTATCTCTTTTCGTTTCTCTTCTTAGAGTGAAGATTCATTTCTGAGTTTATCTCTTTAGTATTGATCGATTACACTTCATCCACTATTGTCCGTTTTCAAGAAACATTTGTGCGCTCTTTTAAAGCACTGCCAACATTGAAAAACATACTAAACGCTTATGGAAACAAAAATTGAATCTTCTATCATGAGCAACATCTTATCTCGCTGACTTAACGTACCCTATTCCGATGATTCTGATGTTCACGTGTGTTCGAGGGTTTCTCCGGACTGGTGCGAGCACATTTACTGATTATTGGAAACTTAACAAAAATGTTTACACCTTCTGAAACACCGGATGAACGAAAAGAGATGTAGTCAGGCTATGCTTTCTCAGTAACGAAAAGTGAAAGAGAATTAGCTGGGGAGCGCGTGTGAGGGAAAACTGACTTAGCGGGATGCAGTCGGGCGATTTCCCCCCGCGCGCAGCTCGCCACAGCGCGCTCAGCGACACCGCCACCGCTTACCTTGCCTTCCTGGAAGGCTATCCGGCATACCAGGATATCTTTATCGGAAGTC